ATTTAAATATACATACATACAGCAAGTGTGTCTTTAAACTAAGCCAAGTTAATAAAGTTTATATGTATGCAATATTTGCTTTATACATACAGATACACTCTCATATATACAAGTGTACTTGTTGTGTATACATACATATGTATGCATGTGTATGGGATTGTGTGATTTGGTACATACATACATACATACATACATACATACATACATACATACATACATACATACATACATACATACATACATACATACATACATACATACATACATACATACATACATACATACATACATACATACATACATACATACATACATACATACATACATACATACATACATACATACATACATACATACATACATACATACATTCGTATGTATTTCTAACGATTATTTTGCTCTTACATCAATGGGTAAATACACATGAGTGTGTGTGTGTGTATAGACTTTTACATAGAAGTGTATATTTGCTTATATTTTTGTATTTAAGTAACCGTTTAAACGTTTTATTTAACTAAAACTTTAGCTGAATAAAAACACAAGCAACACTGCTTTATTTTTCCTCTTTACAACATTAAAGCTCTGCAAAGAATTCTTGGCATTTTATTTATTTAGCATTTTTTCTGTGGATTTTTTTTTCCTTCAACTAATTTTTTTCTAACGCAACCAAACTAAACCAAAGTAACAAACCAACACATACTTTTTTCATATACTCTACACAAAAAATTACTTGCTTTTTTACTTTTAGATGTTGTTTGGGTGTGTGTGTGTGTAAAAGGATATATTTACACGTACGTAGATGAGTGTGTGTATATGAAATCCAATTTTTTGTATCTTTCTGTGGCGTAACAGGAAAAAAAAAGGAAAAATTTTAAAACAAACATGCCTCTAGCAGTAGCTATGCACACAGTATGCAACAAAAATGCGATTTATCTATTTCAATTAGATTTTTAAAAAATTGTATAACTTACAACTTTATAATAATACTAAAATATATTTAAAATGTAATTATAATTAAGTTTTCATGGTAATGTTATTATTTAAGAAGCAACAAAAAAGTGTTCTTTTGTTTTGTCATTCACTGTAGATAGTCGTATGCGTATGTATACTGTAAATATGAACTTTTATCTGAGGTTTTTTTTTAATGTATCTATGAGTAAGTGCGTGTGTGTTTGCATGATTCACATGATTGTAGTTTTGTCTATATTTCTCCATTTGTTCATGACGAATAAAATGAAGTACAGAAATATAAAGATTCCTGTGGTTGTTTAGAAGAATGTCTAAAACAAAAAAGGAGCGTACACGTACAATCATATAGACACACACACATACCCACACGCATACACATTTATACTCATTAAGAACAAAGTTATAAAGTTTTTCCATGATGTTTTTTTTTTTTTGCTTTCTCCAACTCTTCGCTTTTTATTTTGTGTGAGAAAAGAATTTGTGAACAATTAGATTTTGTATCACTTAAGAATATTAATTAAGCACATAATTAAGCAATGAAGACTAAAGCAGTGAAAGATATAGAAAACGAAGCATACATATGAAGAGAACGGCATATGAAAAAGTAACAAAATTGACTTGAAAAATTGAACGGTTGACGGAAGTACTATATTGGGAATAAAGTTTACAAATGTGTAACAAATGACAAGATTGGAATTTGAATGATGTATCATTAACTTTCTTAGTAGCTAATACAAATGTAGTAAAGATATTCCAATAGTTACTAAAATGATAATTATTCAAGGAGGCAAGTATTTAATTAAGAAATTGTTTAACCACTTTTATCTAACTGACCTATTAAATGGTTTCATATATTCAACTGAACACATACTTAGATTGTTCACTTAATAATATGACTAATTGTTATACACTCAGAAAAAAAGTCAAGAAATTTTACTAAATTTTAACAAATTATAGGTTTGTAAGTAAACAAATAATATATTTCAAATTTTTAAAAATATAAGAGTAACAATTACAATTTTCATTGTTTGGTTTGGTTTTGAGGCCAAAAAAGGAAGAAACCCTCTTCGGCTTTGTTTATATTAAAATCAAACTTTTGCTATAAATCATGTAACATTTGTAGCTGCTTGAAAAAATCTTAGTTTCAACAATTTCTTAAACTAAACGAATCTCAACCTTCTTGTCCACTCCAAATAATATTACATTTTTCTTGTTTCCTTTTTTGTTTTCTTTTTTGTGGGCAAATGTTTTATACTTTGAATAAATATGAAATAATAAATTGTGAAAAACATTTTATACACAGATTAAAATCATAAAACATATTTCGTTTCTTTTGTACTTCTTGCCACTATTTTACAATAAGTATCAATGTATTTTCACCCTAGTCGCCTTCATCACCACCACCTGCTGCATCCAACACCCTCGTTCTTTTGAATTTAAAAGTAATAAGAAGTGAAATAAAATTTAGCTATAGTTTGCTATAAAATGATTTGTGGTATTTTATCAATGGTTAACGTGTTATTTGATACTAAAAAGTTTTACTTCACTCCCCTCCCCCCTTTTTCACAAAACTTGCCACTTAAATGAGTATTTTCAACACGATACTTAAATGTGTATTAAACAAAAAAACAAGACGTTAAACTATAGTTTTAATAACAAAAGCAGCAGCAGCAACTTTGGTGTACGAATAAAGGACGAAACAGTGTGCAACAAAAGTTGTATTGTGAAATTTAATTTGGAAAATGGAATTTCCAGCCAATTGATTTAAACGATCTAGTAAAAGGGAGTTGGACATTACCATGGCCTGCTTCCTTGCTTCCTTTTTAACTGACTGGTTGCTTACCTTTAGTATTAATTTGAATTAGAGGAGTAACTACCCAGGAAAAATGTAACAGGCAAGAAGTATTGGTAAAATGGAAGTGCTTATTTTTGGGTGAAAACAAACGATATAGACATTTAGCTATAAATCCTATTCAAGATAATAAAATAATGTTATTTATAACGCCCACTCATTACCAGGTAATGTATTTGTTAACTGCATTACTCATTACCAAAACTTGAAAAATTTTAAATTATCTTTTTTTTCCACTAAACACAAGACTAAATAGTTAATAAGTTTCTACAAAAAATTCCTTAAAAAAAATTTGGAATAAAGAATTCAATGATAGTTTCTTAAATAATGTTCGAATACTTATTTATAACACTGTTTACATACATATGTATGAATTTATATAGCATTATAATATATAACTATAAGTACAACATTTAGTAAGTAGATAGCAAGATATTAAATGGAACAAAAGTGAAGACGAACCAAAAAAACTATAAAAATGCATTGAATTTTAGTGCACTTCAATATTGTACTGGCTATGGATTCTCAGTCAGTCGTTGGGTTGGTTGTATATAAACCATAAATTCTTGTTATCGATTTAAGAAACAAAATAAAAAATTATTAACGAGAATATGAGAAAAAAAAAAAAGAACTGTAAAAGAAATAAATATAAAGTCATGTCCTCGATAATAAGTTTTTTTCTACTGCACTTTTTTTTCCATTTTGTTGCTGTTGAGGCAATATTTATTTATAAAAGACAAAAAACCGCCAAACGGAGGTTAAAAATGTGTGTTCAAAAGACTTAAGTTGCAGCAGTAGTTGGTGTTTCTGCGTGGGTTTTGAATCCTTAAAGAATTTATTTATTTTCTTTTTTACTTTTGGGGATTTCGCAGTAACACCAGCCAGAAAATGTTTACAATCAACAAAACAATGAAGCAACAATACAACAACAGCAAAAAATGTGAAACAAAAAAGTAAAAATGTTAAGAAAATCCCCATAAAAAATCAAAGAAAATCTATGAGAATTTATATTTGCTTTTTCGGGGGATTTTTATTGTTATATGCCAAATTGATTTAATGCATAAACTTTTTTGTTCCTTTTTTTATAACAGTGCCAATTTCTTTCCCCTCTTGGGTTTCCTCTTATGGTACACTGTGAATAGTTTTTTCTTTACTTTCTCTTCGTTTTCCTTTTTTTTGGGTTGCAGTAACTCTCAAGAACCTTGTTTTTCTTGTTGCCATTGATTTTAAATATTTTTTTTTGATACAACAATGTTAAACATTTTTCTCAGAATTATTTTAAGGAATTTTGTTTTGTTAGTTTGTTTTTGCTGTTGTTTCTTTTTGGTATTGACAATTTATTTTTTGTTTTACCGCACTCACTGTTAAAAGAAAGCAAAACTTTTCAATCCGTTTCATTTCTGTTATACAAATATTACAGTTGGTATAACAGAACAATAAACCGAGACAGTAAAAGAAGAATTCAATCTATTTAGTCAAGAAATGGACAATTCTGTATAGTTGTAATTTATTAAAAAAAAGTTGGTACATTTTTGGTATTTTACTCTTTTACTAAATTTTAAACTTTATAAAAAGGATTTTTTTCTTAAAATTTTAACTCCGATATTCATTAAGTCATTAAAGGAATAACAATTTACATTCTAACAAATTAAATACTTAAAAAGTACCATTTCTTCTGGCTTAAGTATCTCTCATCTCTATTTTTCATCTCTTCATTTCACTTACTTTTTTTTGCACATTCATTTGGCATTGTGGCATCAATTTTTATTTTTGTGGCAAGAATGAGAAAAATGACAAGTGGCTGAGAATATGGAGTGGGGGAGTAGAGGTCAGTGTTTGTTTTTTCTGTTGTCCATTCTTTTGTAAATCAATTTCGATTGTTTGTTTTGTGTTGGCCATAATAAAAATTGGGGATTGTTTTTTCCGATTTTGTCAAACAACATTAAACCGTAAAGGAATGAAAATTAAGCACTTCTGAGAAGAAAAAGACATTGTTTACTTTTCATTAAAGTGTGAATGGTTTCAAATTGTATCATTATATAAAGTGATATTTAAAGGCAATAAATAATATAAGTAATGAAATCTTGATTTAATTAAAAAAAAAAAAAAAAAACAAATTTAATAAAATTTTTATAAATTATTTTTTAACATATTATTTACATTTTCTCATTTATTTCAGATGATGAAAATTCGCACGTACATGCTATTTTAACCAAGGACAATCTGTTAGATGGTACCATTGAAACACCTACAGAAAATTTCTACATTGAACCGTCTCACAGATATTCCCAGCAGTTGAATGAGACCGGTGTACACACCATTATTTATAAATTAAGTGATGTGGACATGCGTAAACCAGCAGTTGAGGAACCCACCAAATCATCATCGGCCGAACATTGTGCCAGTGAACGTCTTAGACGCAGCATGTTACTGGACGAGCTGAAAAGAAGAAAGTCTAATGGCGAAGAATTTCGAGGGTATAAAGATGAACCTCTGACACCAGACGAAGTAAAATTGTATAAAAAACGCTCGAAAAGATGGCTGCCAGAAGAGGTAATCTTTAAATAATCACATTTAAATTTTAATAAATTTTATGTTTTCAAAATATTGAACGTACTTCCATGTATGTCGCTCTTATACGTGTTTCGCTGGCATTTTACCAATTACTGTCACTATCAAGACAATAACACGATTTCTCTACGCTTTTCTTCTCACTTGTTTAATTTATCGCCACTTTTTTCTCATCTTTTTTTCCAGTTTGTCACTTAAAAAGGAACATTTCTGTACAAGCTTTGTTCACGATTTTTTTTATACATAAGTGCCCTGAACCTTGATTTTTACAATGTCCCAGCAAACACTTACAAGTGCTTTTCACTTTTCAAATGTTTTTAAATTGTTAGCTTTGTAACTAGTTCTACTCTTTAGTGGAACTGATCATCTTATAAACGCAACAATCACAACTATCCCCACAGTAGACTACTTGTGACTTGTTAAATGAAAGGATTATATAGTCTGCTTGTAATTTTGCTGGGATATTTCAGGGCATGTGTATGGATTGTGAGTAAATGTAAAATTGTTTGGTGTATGTGTGTATGTGCGCTCCTGTAAATTTGTGGTTGTGTACGAGTATTTTTGTGTTCCACCTTTTTAAGTTGAGCGTGTGATTACTTTATTATAGAGAGCGTGTTTATTTTACATTATTATTGCTTACCATTATTGTCGTAATACAACAATGACAACAACAACAGCAACAACGACCCCATGACTGATATTTAAGTCACTGTACATGTTACCTCCACCGTAACACCCTCCCATATTCATTCCCTTTTAACTACAAGTTGAAAACAGCAAAAAGTGTAGTTTCATTATATGTCATTGAGCGGTGCTATTTGTCAATTTTAAATGTGCGTTAAACCAATGCTGGGTATATGTTTGGGTGTTTAATTTCTACCCCACATATCCTTTTCCGTCGCTCTCTTTACCTCCTTTCTGGTTTTATTGTGTTCTATTCTTAATGTATGATTTTTTCTTCTTGTTTCATTTTTAGCTGCTGGTCTTTATACACATTTTATTTTGATTGACAGTTAATTTACAAAAATTTGCATAATAGAGTCAAGCATTTTTCACTTCTTTCATTTTTAAATTTTTTTTTCGATGGGAGAGTGAAAAAATCCAGTATTAGAGCTGAAAGTATGTTTGAATACGTTTGATGAGAGCAATTTACATATACTTCTATACTAGCACTCACCCACCCACACACAGTGTTAAGCTCGTTTACATATTTGAAGTGAAAATAAAATCAATAGATTCAAATTTTTAAATTGAATTTATCGAAAAACGTTTGTAACGATAGTTAGCAAAAGGAAAAATTACATAATTTCTATGTAAAAAATACGTGAAATGCGATTGACGTTTATTTAATTTTGAAGCAAATTTAAAGTTAAATAAAAGTTAAATTTATGAAAATCAAGCACGTTTATGGTATGCCAATAACAGTACATTTTTTTATAAAAAGAGAAGTAAAATGGTATAAATACGTGAAGAGGTTCAGTAGATAAAAGTATCGGCTCTCATTACGCTTGGTGAGGTTACGATTATATTAATAATTAACTACAATACCAATTACTTTTAATGAGTAATTGGGCATTATTTTGTAATTGTATATAATGTTATTTTCGAAGTAGGACTTATATTAAATCTGCTGACAATTATAAAACCATCATTAATAAAATCCCATAAAATTATAAACCCATCATTAATAAAATCCCATAAAAAAGCTATTTTTAGTAGTTTAACTTTAAAGCAATTGATATTTCTATTCCTTTATATAGTGGGGACTTAAAATGAACCGATTTAGAACAGTTTTATGGGTTCTTCATTTCAGCAATTGCAGCAATTACCAGTTGATGGTTAATATTGCATACAAACTTATATTTCTAAATGGACTCAAAAGTAATAGGAAGTCATTTGGTACATATTTCACAAAATAAAGCTAATGTTTAAAAATTTAAATTTTAGTAAAGTTGCCTATTAAAACGCCAACTACCAACATTAGGGATTTAGTTAAAACTAACTTATTATGGATTCACAATGAACCATAATGGTCCCCGGGTGGAGTTTTATCTAACTTTTCAAAGGTCATGATAATATTTCCCACATACAAACACTTTATCATTTGTATATGAGAAGAAAAGGACACACAACATAGAAATAATCGGCAACATAAGATCAGCTTATACTGTAATATAATCTTTTAGCCCGCCTTAAAGTATAATCACTTCGTCCACTACCTCGTTACAATTTTAGAGGTTGTGGTTGCAATTTCTAACTTTTATATAAAATATGCAACAACCACACCATGTGATGATAAAGAAATGAAAATAAATTTTTGTTGAAAGTAAGAATGAGTAAATATTAAAAAACAACAACAACACACACAAAAACATACGTTGAAAGACTTGAAAATGAATGAATAAATGACTCAGTTCATGCAATATTTTGTTGTTGTATGAATGTAAGTATATCTACTAGAACGACTATAAATGAAAATTGCAGAAGGGTAATTTTTCTTTTGGCCAAATAAATCCAATTAAAATGTCATTTATGTTTTTGTTGAGAGTACTTACGGCACCAAAGCCTCCTCAACCATTAAACCCGGCAAACCACTTCAAAGAAAAAAAATTATATATAATGGAAACAAGAGCAGCAGCCATAAAATAAAACGAAAATGCACACATACACCAGCAAGAAGTAGATTTTCTCGGGCAAATGGAAAAATAAACTCTTCTCTTCATTTTATATTAAAAAATGTAATAAAGTCGATGACAAATTCATTTCATTTTAAGCTTTATTCAAATTTTCAATCTCCTTTTGCACCTTCATTTACATTTTACAATGCATTTGTTTTAATTCATTCATTCGTTTATGTATTCATTTATTATGTCGGTTACGTTTCCATTTCTTTACAGCTGGCTTCATCTGGTGATGGTCATAAAAAGGATCCGCCGCTACCGTTGGATTTAGATGTTCCCTACAATGATGACTACAGTATTTTTCATAATGCGGATAATCCGCATTCAAAGTATGATGAGAAAACATTTAGTCCTTTAGACAAAACCACCTCAACCGAAACTACGAGTAACTTTAATAATAATAATAATAATAATAATAATAATAATAATAATAATAAAAATAATTATAACAATAATAATAGAAATACTAATACAAATACAAACAATAAGGAAGAACAATTGCGTAAAACGCAACAGCAACAACAAGCATCTGTGATAACGTGGCGAAATGCTGGACAGCAACAACAAACTTATAATACAGTTACAACAACAACATCCACTGCAACTGCACAGCCTAATTCAGCCTCATCATCATCGTTTACCAAGTACAACCGCAACCGTAATATCATTGTTAGTAATTATAATCCAAATAATAACAACAACAACAATAATAACAATAACAACTACAATGCAGACAACATTAACAATTCCTACAACAATAACATAAGAAAAACCTATACAAAACACAAAAATATCATTGTTAGTACCTACAACAACAACAATAATAACAACCAGAATACCAACGCTAGCAACAGATCAGCCTCCTCCTACGACCGTGTTGATGATTTCAGCGATGGCAGCAATTTCTTTAACAACAATTGGACCACCATCTTCATGGGCAACGATCGTCCCATCCACAAGACCCATGTGGAAATCATTACTAAAAATGGTGCCACTAAAAAGCCCAACATAATTGTCAACAACTATAATCCCGACATCATGATGGCACCCAATCCACATAATCCCAATTTCAACAGCATGCTAATGACCAATCTGCTGAGCAATAGAGGCAATGGTGATTTTGGCCAAAGTGATTCAACGAATTCCGGCAAATCTTTGTATGATCGCAAAATAACCTGCATGCTGTATTTGCAGGCGGATCATACGTTTTTTCAGAAGATGGGCTCGGATGAGGCGAGCATAGAGGCAATAACAAGGCATGTCCAGCGAGCCAATGCCATATATAAGAATACAGGTGAGAGGATTAAATAAATGAGTACAAAAACATAAAATAGAAATAGTTTTAAAAAAACATGTTTTATATGAATAACAAACTATTTTTTTTTTCGTTTAAAATTTAGTACTATAGGTAATTTAGATTTAGATTTTCATTTCTATTTCAACTTTGTCTGCATGCAATTTCACACAAAACCACATAAAAAAAATATATCAACCTTAGCTGAGCTGAAACCAAAGTTTAAACCCAATGCAAATATTTCATTTGTTTTGCTATTTTTAATATTTACTCTAGATATAGAAAACTAAAAACAAACAGCACATCCGACCTCCAAGGAAAATATTTATTCTGAATATTCGGAGTAAACAACAAAACAATACAAACTCAATTTTTTATGTACATATGTATTCAATTTATGCAAGTACATATATACATATGTATAATAGAATAGACCTTGAAATTTGCAACATATTAACCTCTTCTATCTGAATCTGGTAAAATATTTCAAATCCCTTGATTTGTTTAAAATTTATTTAAAAATAGTAAAATTACATTAAACCTTTAAAGTCACTTTTTTCTCAAAACGACTTTTATTCGATTATGCCGGTCTTGCAGTAGAAGGAGCCAGCCTAATGCGTGCAATTGCATGTGTATGTACATACGTGTGAATATTCTGCATGTAGTATGTACAACATGCAACAACAAGTTTTTTTGTTCAAAAAAGTAACCTAGTAAGAAAATATAGTCGGTCATGGTCGACCACATGATACCGAACATAAGTTATGAGTGTATTTAAAATGTGACTTATTTTCTATGCTATGTATATCAAATTTTACCTCAATTCCAATATTAATGAAAAACTAATTTTCCGAAAGGATCTGTAGGCTATGATCTAACATAGACCAATTTCAAAACAATTTGGTGAAAGGATTTTTGTATGTTTATGTAAAAGTTATTTATGAAAACGTCATTATGTTTAAAAGTAAATTATAAACATTATAGACCTTATTCAAAAACTAATTTTTATTTTATAAATGGTTTATAAATCAAATTTAGTATGGAAATTTTGTTTTATAAACCTATTATAAAATAATATGTTGTTTATGAATAAGGCCTTATATCTTTTCCTGTCGGACTTTATGTGGGAGAACAGTAAGAACCGATGATTACAATTTGCATAAAACTTTGATTTGCTGATATTTTTAGAAATACTAAAATATTTAACGGATTGGTTAACTTTAAAGTATCGGTTATACACATCCATAATATCTTTGTATAACTACCCAGAAGTTCAACAAAGAGTCAATGCATCCGAAAAAGACAGTGATTTCCACTAACGTTTAACCACCTGGTTGGCTCTAATTCGTCTTTCGCCACGGATGTACTCTTTGTAAACGAGGGTGAAGATAATCGCCACTTTAGTTGCCCTTTGTAAGCGAGAGAGTGTACACTTATATAACAAACTCAAGTTTTTTGTGAGTCTCTTCATAATTTATGGGATGACGATTAACTTCCTCGTAGGACAAGCACATGTTAAAATAACTAGTCACCTCGGCAGTTCGTGGAAAGGGGTTAAAAAGTTAGTTCGGGACTGTCCCACCAAACTGCTGGTTATAGTGGTATAATGAAAAGTTCAACACAAAAACGAATCAAAATCACATTTTATAACAATTGCCCAACTACCACAGACATACAAAGCAAATGTTTATAAGGAAATATATTAATTACAATTTCCAAAAAATCGTAATCAACAAATAGGTCAATTGGTCTTTTTTGTAATATTTTTTTCCAAATAAAAACAATCACTAAAGCTTCTTTCTGTATATAAACTATATAAATAGTTAACCTCCCTGGAATTTAAAAAAATAATCAATTACTTTAGGACATTATTTTAACCAAAAGCATTACTACCCTTTAGTACGACGAACTAGTTAGACAACGACGATATTAGACTGCCACTAGTGAATTTTTGTGGGTTGAAATGAATTCATTTACTGGTTTTGTGGATTTGCATCTTATACATAATATGTAGCCATTCATTTCACTAGTTGAAATACTCCAAAAAGAGTTCTATATATGGCTGTGACGAATCTTATATGCCCTTTACCATATTGTGTTTAAATCAATAAAAACTAGTTTTTAGTTTTTAAGAATTAAAAGAATTATTTAAATTTTTAAAATTTAATATTTTTTCCCATCCCTGTACAATTTATTATCCCTAACTTTGGCAATAACAAAGCTCTAACATGTAGCTAGATAGATGTAGATTTTATAAACAAGCTAAGTACAAGAGGTTGTCTTACAATTTTGTTTATATCTCCGTTATTTATGGAGCGATTTTAAATAATAAACTTCTCGAAAGCTTGTCTGATGGATTTTGCCCGAAGATATATGGGGTCTTCATACAAATTTTAGACAAACATACAGACATGCGGACAGATATATCTACATATGGCCTAATCAACTCTACTATATACATATAAGAATCCTTTAAATAATCAGAAAATTATATTATAGAAATTACAAATTACTTATACATATACCCTTCCCAAGAAAACAATACTGAAACAGAAGCTCTCACCCCTGAGCTTCCGATCTTCTGATTATAACCACAATTTATCAATCGAGAAACACAATCGTCATTTTTAGATTATTGAGGAAAGTGCATTTCACAAATCTAAAGCTTTTTTATCTAAACAGTGATTTAAACTTACTTCTGTTACTGCCTCTGCGAACTGCCGAGATGTTATATTTTCTCTTGCTCATGCAAGTATCTTTATGAATTTTTATTTATCTGTGTGAATGTTAGTGTGTATTATTGTTTACAACAAATACTCGGAATGAAAACAATGATAAGAAAAAATATACATTTAATCTCTCTGACATAAAATCGGATTTATATTTATTTAAAAAATACTCTATATTGATTTTTTGTTATTTTTTTTAAAACTTTTTTTTTAGCTTATTTTTCATATGAATTTTTTCTTTTACATTTCGCAGATTTTAACAATGATGGCAAAGCGGACAATATTACATTCATGATTAAGCGCATCAAAGTCCACAATATGAATGCTGTCAAAGATCCTTCATACCGTTTTCCTGGCAATTATGGTGTTGAAAAATTTTTAGAATTATTTTCAGGTAAGTTCCACATATTACGAATTCATTCAATAAGTTAATTGAATTTTTACATTTACAATTTCACGTATTTCAATTACATTTACACAATTTTTTCTACAAATATTTACTCATTTATCCGGGTGTTGTTTTTATGTTTATCAAAAATCAATAAAGTTTTTATTTTTTTTTCAGTATTTTATTTTCATTAATTACAATTTAATATTTGCATAAAATAATTTATAGAGTTTATTTGTGTGTTGATCTTGCGGTTGAGTTTTTTTCGTGTTTGTGGCATCACTTTTATTGGAAATTATTTAATAGTTAAGAAAAAAAATAACCATTAAATTGTTTATAGTTTAATCACGAAACCTGGTTGGGAAAATAATTGATTTATTCATAAAAATACACTTTTTTACTGAATATTTATATTTAGCTTAGTTTTTTCTTATTTACATTTATTTTATAAATAACTATTGTTAGATATTATTTCATAGTATATTTTAAAATATTTACTTTAATCTTATAATTAAATACAGTCTTGAACAAAAGTTAACATATACTTTGTGCGAGAACTTTTAGTAGTTTGGTAAGTAAAATTCGAAAGTATTTTAGATCTGTGAAATACCCTTATCGAACAGTGCCAAATATCACAATGTCAAGGCTCAGAGATCATCATGCATTGGTATAACAGGTGCTCTAAGAACTAGTCCTTCAGAAGCTCTGAACACTAGCACATCCTACTATAGATCTGAATATTATGGCCATATGGTTGGAAATCAAGAACAAATAGACTCTCTAATATCTTAAGCTAATCACCTCCAATCTTGAACCAACAATCAGATTATATTACCCCATATACGGATTATGATAGTTTTAAAAGTCAGAGTTCCTTCCAGGAGCGAGTGGTGTAGGGGTAACCTACCGAGCGAATATACCACCAGAATGTTCACAAATGGTTCTAAAATGAACTGTGGTGTTGGTTCCTGTGTCTTCTGTGAAGAAGCTGGAATAAGTATAGATATACTTATACCACCGTCTTCCCAACAACTGTAGTGTATGTACTACATGACGTCAATATTCGAGGCAACATAGGAATTTTTGTCGATAGTCAAGCGGCATTTGTCTCACTAAATTCTTATACTACCACTTCCCTATTAGTTAGACTAGAATGCAAGAAAGATCTGTCAAGGCTGGGTCGCCTGTCTGACATTACCCTTGTTTGGGTCCCTGCGCATAGGGACTATTATGGAAATGAACACGCAGATTAGCTTACCAGAACGGGATCTGCTCTTGATATCTCCAAAGCCGTTCCAGTAGCAACCCCGTTAGGTTTTATCAAGAGTAGTATTCTCAGATTCTATCTTCAAAAGGCTGAAAATAGGTGGAATAACCTAGGCACATGTAAGGTGGCCAAGATATTGTGGCCCTCCTTCAATAAAAAACGCACAAGACTCCTTATAAACCAAAGTAGGCGAGATGTATCAACATTGATAGTAGTAATAACAGGACGCTTGGTGCTAGGCAGACATGCAAGCCGTCTTGGGCTACCCTTCAATGAACATTGTCGCAGTTGCAAAGACGGGGAAAAGAAAGAAACGGTCTTCTCTGCGAATGTCCTGCTCTATCCGTTAAAAGAAGCCGTTTTCTTGGCAGTTACTTCTTATATAACCTTGGTGAAATATCTGGATCTAAGCTTAATGATATCCTGAGATTTCTCACTGCTACAGGCTGGATCTAATACCATACAACAATACATCTGACGAATGGAGTGGTCCGGTCAAAACGGAGTCTCTTCGAATCTACTTGACTGTTTGCGCGCAGTGAACTACCACTTTAACTGAACAATCATTTTAGATTTAGTTTAAAAAAAGGATTATTATATATTAATTTCAACATTATGCTAAATTTATCTGTGTTAAAATCTTAATATTTTTCGAAAAGTTTTAAAATTTCAAATTTCAAGGTCTGATATGCAATTGAAAGCCTTTCTCAAGGTACTTTCATATGATAGCCAGATTTCATATCAATCCTTTGGAAGAAATTTGAAAAAAAATCATAAAAACCACCTTTGATATACTAACTCACGAAATATTGACGTCAAAACAAAAATGTTGAGAAAGGCTATCGTACAATGAACTAAATTTTAATTTTCGATGGAGACATCAGCCATTTCCATTTTGGGGCCACCCTAATGTACATACATACATGTGTATGTATTGTATTTGTAATATCACTTTCATGTTTTCTTTACTGCAGCACGTACAAATTTCAACTGAGATTTTATGTGAATGTGTTCTTTTTTGTAAAAAGTAAAATTGTTTACATAGTCGAACATAAAGAAAATTCTTGGCAAAATCAATTACACATTTTGAAATGTTACCACAACAACAGAATGATTGTAACGAAATGTATTTGAATCCTTAGCACAATACTTGGGTAATGGAATTTTAAATAGAACAAAATTTAAGAAATTTTCTTGAAAATTCAAAGAATATTTTTAGGTAACTAAATGAAACAAGTTAAATTTTTGAAATATATGAAAAATAAACAAAACTGTTTAAAAAACTAAATTTTACCAAAAAGCTACTCAAAATGTTTCTTTAAGAAAATAGCAATTAGTTAATAAATTAAATTAAAATATCTGCCCAAAAAGCCTTCTCCTTTTAGCAGAAATATTAACTTTTAAATAACATTTCATATAATATTTATGACCTACAATTACTCACTGCCTGCAATTCTATATGAATTCTATGAAACTGTGGAAAAATGACACTGCAATTTATTTATATTTTCATTTCATTAAAACAAATTCCCAGAAATCTTTTATGGAAATAAAATATAAACAGCTTAAATAAATACACGATTATATTTTCTTTTAATTTTTCTTGAAATTTTTAATTGAATTTACCGAAATGTATTCAATACAAGGATTTAAGTTAAAAAAACATTTTCACTGAAATGTAATTAAGCTTTAATCTTTATTGGAAAATATGCAGGACATAAAAAGAAAATGCAAAACTACTACAGTTGAAAAAAAACGAGAAGAAAACCTTAAACATTACATATATGTAAATCTCGGACAAAATAATTGAGAATGACTGATAAGAATTGTTTGTTTTTGACATATTAAACATGTCTTTAAATGTACATGTGCATATTTCGAACAGATTTTTGAAAACATGACAAGGATGAAAGAAATACAATATGTAAAAGGAAAGAATTATAAGATATTTCTTAATTTATGTTTGGATAATTTTTGAATATTAATAAAGTACGAGACCTAGAACATCATAAGCGACTCAAGTATTTATTACTCATTCGAAATTGTTTCTTTTATGATAGAATATGTTTCCTAAGGAAAATTTGGTTGTTTGTATCCAAAGATGATAAAATCTGTTCATACAAAATTGTTCGCCTTAATTAATTTTCTCTGTGTATGAACTTATACCTCAAACTACGTTAAAAAGAATAAATGTTGTATAACAACTAAATTTTTAGTTCTTGGAATTATGCACAATAAGTACTTGTACATGCACATAAATAATTTCTATACATTTTGGTTTTCTTTTCAAATACATTTTGAAACCATTAAATTTACAATATATACATACTTATGTAAGTAAAGGAGTTCTCATTTTCTCTTTCATTTCTCATTTACAGAGGAGGATTACGATGCTTTTTGTTTGGCTTATATGTTCACCTATCGAGATTTTGAAATGGGTACTTTGGGCTTAGCATGGACTGGTGATTTGAAAAATGCTGGCGGTGTTTGTGAAAAGAATGGGGTAAGTGTTGTAATTAAAACTAATGGAAAATTTAAATATTTACTTAATTTACTTAATACTTTAAATATTCCTTTCAACATTGAAAACGTTTAAAATCGTGAAAAAATAACATTTTTCTTTTTAACAGTTGTAGAGTATAAATATTAAATTACATATTACTCATACGTATTCACGCTTTTGTAAATGAATTATTAATGACACACTCATACGCCATACTGCTGGTTAAATGTAGAATTGTACAGTAAATTGCAAATAAACTGATTGGACATAAAATGCAGTTGTTATTTTATGTTTTCTGTTTATTGTTTAAATATAAAAACAGGAAGAAGAAAACAAAAAAAAAACAATTACAAATTTCGTTGTGATCTTGAAAATTCATTACGGACTTGCTGGCTGCTAACCATACACAACATCAATAGTAAAAACAACCATATTTCCCCCTTCACACTTCTCTTTCTCTAGTGCAGTCTGACAATGAAATACATTCAAACAATATCTTCATTTTGTTCATTTCCTGTGTCCGCATATAAATTGGTTGACTCTGTTGAATGCAACCATTCAGCCAACCAAACCAACAACAAAAATACCAAAAATACAAAAATTTTACATTCAGCCATTTCGGCTTCAGCATAAAAACGTAAAATTTCACAAAAAAAAAATACAGAACAAAACTTTTATTTCTGCAAAAGTACTATAAAATTGTAAGAGGGTTTTTATACAGAATGTCTGAATAAAGTTTTTGCTTCTTCTTTTGTGGGAGAAAGTTGCGGTGGGCTGTTGTTTTTGTTCATTTAACGAATTTTTCGAATATACAATTTTACATTTATTATCGTGTTTCACATAATCACATTTCGACAAAAAGTGAGCAAGAGGTTTGGAAGGGACAGGCTTAAAAATTGTAAAAGAATCGTATAATTAATATTATTTTATGTATATTTAACTTTTTTGTTGGTAAATGGTTAACATTTTGTTTAAATTCGTTATATTAAATTAAATATTTAAGTTTTTAGTAATATTAAGCGGAATAAAATTAATGTAATTTTTATATTACAATAGTACATTATGAATGTTAATTGAATTTAAAATTTTTCTTAATTGAAAGTAGATTTTAAAGAATTTTTCTAATTTTAATAATATATATGTATTTTTAAGCAGATTGATTGCATTTTCTCTCAAGCATAAATATTTAATATGTAATATTATTATTTTAAATGCAAATTTACAATAATATTGTCTTAGTTGAACCATTGAAGTATTCTAAAATCTAAATTAGTTAGAAAAAGTAAAATAGTAAAAAAACAACAACAATATTGAAAATAAAACAATAACAACAACAATTACAATTACAAAATAAATATAAAAAGACTTTAATAATTAAAAACTTTTCTCTGCATAAATAAAGATTGATAAGTTTATACATAAAGTAGTATTTATAGTTTAAAAAGATTTTTTTATTGGATTTTTACTTTTATCATAATTATTGTTATTATTTTTATTTTGTTCTTGTGTTTGTATAAGTATTTAATAAACAAACAAGGTTTACATCAGTATTTATTAAAAATAAATATATGTAGGTCTATAGCCTTTATATAAAATTGATCTTTATGATACTTTCAACTGTTACACATACATATGTTTGTATGTGTTTATTTGTGTGTAAATTACAATTTATAACTATAACTATATTTACGTAATTTCATGTGTGTTTATTACATACATATATACATTTCCATATGTGTACATATGTATATGTTGATATCAGATACATATACATGTCATCAGTATCTTTAACATTAATATTTGTTATTGCTCCCTTTATACTTATCACAACTACTACTCTTTGCCTATATTTCTCCCACACACATACGCACTAGCAAGCACATACATTGTATATTCCAGCAGTTCAGGATAACTGAATTGTTTCTGTCTTTTAAGGACTTTGTTGACAATTTTAAAAATGCGTCTTGTAGTTTGTTTATAAACTTTTCATGGACGGACAGAGGTTAATTGTATCTGATTCGATTAGTGTACCAAGGATTAGTATTACCGGGGATAAATACTATTTTAAATGGGATACATTTAAATGTTCACAAAACTACTGGGATGATGTATTTATGTAAATTTACATAACAAACAAATAATCTCTCCTACAATCTTTGTTCTGTTCAGCTCTTATTGAGTTTAATTACATTTTCATATTGTGTTGACTTTATGTTTATTTGTTGTGCTGTTATTATATTTTTCATATTTTTTCTCCATTATTATTATAAGGACATATAACCGGAATAATTTTTTTCTACGAAAAAAATAATTTATTTTGTTTTAAAATAATGTAATATTCATTATATATAGAAACATGTTTTTGCAACCATTTTTGGAAGTTTGGAGTTGAATTCAAAACGAAGCTGATTGGAATAGGAGTTGTTAGAATATCAACCTATTGTAAAAAGTTATTGAAGCCCAATCTATAACTAAGTCCCGGTTCCTTTTTCGAAATATCGAGTAAATAATTCCTTATGAAATACATATATTAAAAAAAATAAACAAAATTTTGAATGATTTTAAACAAAACTCAAGATAATTAATTAGTTAGTTGATCTTATTTGGTAAAAAATCTCAAATTTAAACCATATAGTGCAGAATTAAGCTGTAATACACGTTTAATTGTAATGTATTTCCCAGAAAAAATATGCTAAAAACAATACACAGATATACATTTCACTCATTCATGTGAAATAAAAATTTAAATTTACATAAATTAACAAACATGCATACATTGTTAAAAACACACACATAACAAGTATTATTAATATTTACATATGAAAATAAAAAAAAAATAAAAGCGAAACTATAATAACACAACTGCTGACTTGCTATCCAATTAATTTAAAATTGCATGTGAACATTTTTATTTTGTCATTAATCCATGCGTTCGTTCATTATTCCGCTTACAAGAGAATAAAATGTATGTGGCGTATACGTTATATTTAATTGAATTTAAAATAATAATTGAAGCAATAATACTCATACGTCTGGGTGGTCAGATTGATGTTGTTGTTAATAAATATGTGCAAGTTGTTGTTTAAATTTTGTTTAAGCCAACATAAAACTCAAGGCTTACAAGTGCTCTTGTAACTATGTGTTACAAACAACAACAACAAAAACTTTTTGTTTTTATTGTTAACAATAGTTAATTTCCCTTAGGTACCAAACAAGTAGGAAAAAATAAAACAAGAACAACAAAAACTGTGATGGTTTTAATGAAAAACAACTAGTTACAAAAATTTGTCATACATACAAACGTATTTACCTTTAAATGTTGCAGTATTTGTTGTAGTTGTTGCTGCTGCTCTTCTTATTTCATTTGTATTTATAGTCCATTGATAGCGTATATTTATTCGAGTCACCCTTGACTTCATTTTACATTCAACATTTATACACATACACAATTTTTCCCCTACGACAAATCCAACAACATTTATTCATGCATTTAAACACACTTACACAATTGCACACATCTACATATGTATGTATGAACGAATGTATTGCTGAATGTATAGCAAACATTTGAAGCATCAATTTATAACATACAAATATGTACATTGGCTGTCAGGTTGCCAGGACATCAGGTTGAAAGGCTGGCAAAGTGGCAGGCAACATGTCTGGTCATGCGACTGTCTGTTTTCCAGTCTGGATGTCTGTTGGGTTGACGGACAGTCAGGTAACCAACCTAGTTTTCACTTTTAATGAAAACGCAAATGTTTGTGTAAACTAGAGTTTTGTCAACAAACGTTTCAATGTAATTTTCCAATTCAATGGCACAGACATCACACACACACAAACATGTATACACATACAGAATTTATGTAAATCTATGTGTGTGTGTACATGAGAGTGTTATAAAACAGGCCAATATTGAACAGTTGACCGTTATGCACACCCATACGCTCTATAAAAACAATACAATTATATCATCATACAATGGATGTAGACACTTCTTGGATACAACATTTTCTCTTCTCTATAATATGAGAAACCATGTGTATCTGTATGTCGAAAGTTATGTTTATATTCTGGTAATATTTAGGTTGTTTTTTTGTTGATATTTAAAATGTGTGAAAGTTTTAGTAATTTTTTATTGTTTACAACGACATCTACATAATATTAATGGTTTAAAGTTTATCACACATGCATACATACATATGCATGAAAATACATAGTGCATTGTTATTATCATGTACATTGTACAGTATATTACAATAATACTGCAACATTTATATTATAATATAAGATTATTTAATCTCAAGTTATAATATTTTCTTATAATATTTCTTTCAATATAAATTTAATTTTCGGCGTATTTGTACCCTACACCACTATAGGGATATTATGCGTTTGTTCTGATATTTGTAACCTAAACCCACCGTCAAGTATACCAGAATCACTTTCTGAGTCGATTTAGCTATGTCCGTTCGTATGCCAGTCTGTCTGTCCGAATGTGTGTCCATGTAAACTCTATAGGTCGCAATTTTCAAGGTAATTAGATGAAATTTGTCACATACTCTCCTTTTGACCCAAGGATGAAGCCTATTGAAAATGGTTAAAGCACCCGAATAGGCTTTTGAGCTCATAAATATGTTAAATGTTCTGTATTAATCCAAAAATCGGCAAAATTTAATTTTATATAAGTCTTAATGACATTGCTGATTTTCGTAATGATCGGGCCTCATTTGACCCTATCCCCCATACTAAGTCCACTTCAGAAAATAACTTGATGGTCAAAATTCACTTATAAACGCTAATATCACGATGATATTTTGCATAAATAACTGATGTAGGCGTAAATTCCTCTACCAAAATGTATAAGAATTTGACCATATTAACCCCCTGCCCCTATATAACCCCTCTTTTCAAATATTTCCGAATTAAGGTAAAAATGAAATTAAATACTTTATTATTAAAAAAAAATAATCAAAATTTTTAACGTAATCACTGGTGTAGGGTATCTATGGTCGGCCATGCCCGACTATAAACTCTTACTTGTTTTCATGAATATTTTCTATAATATGTATAATCTTTAATAGTAGACTTCTTCATAGATTTGCCAAAAGAAAACTTTAAATTTTAAAACTTCAAAATTGCATTATTCAGGAATTTTTACGTATTTTTAATAAGTATATTTCGTTTGACTATGTACCATTCTGTAAATTAGTATGACTTGTCTTATTCGTTAGTCTATAGACTAGTCTATTTAGCCTTCTAATCTATTAAATTGTCTATTTTGATGATTCTATAGATAAGTCTATTAACTAGTCCTAAGAAGCCGAAAAGCGATTAGGTCCTTTTAATCCAATAAAGTTAATTTTTTTGGTTTTACAATATATTAAATTTTAGTTTTAAGTAGTTTGAATTTGGTTTCCTAGTTTTTATAAAAAACGCGGAAAATTACTTTTTGTAGTCACTGTTCGAACACTGTTTTTTTTCCTTAATCGAGTTGTCGCTAAAGTATGTGTGCAATGTAAACAAGCAAATATTTGCTTATTGTTTTTGTGGTTTGTTCAGCGATTTTTTGTTCGAAAATATTCGTACCATATTAACAATAAAATATTATCGGTTAAATTTCATGGTTAATTACACTTACGATTAAATAAAAAATTAACAAAAAATATACTAATATGTTATGCAGCTAAATTATTTTAAATGCAATATTTATATAAACAAAACATAAAGTTCTTGTAGAACTTTTAGTCCCAATTAACACTACTTGGTTGAAATAGTAGCTAACGAAAGAATGAAACTATGAAAGCAATGTTTATCGTTTCAATCTTGATAGAAGATAAATTCTAAAATCATTAAATCATAGATTTGATGAAAATAATATTAAATTTGTCAGTGTATTTATATTAAATAGAAAAGACAATGTCTACTTATTATATTAGAAAAAAATAGTTTTTAACAAATAATACCAATTAAGTATGAACAAAATCCAACTAACCATACTTTAGAAAACTAATGGAAAAAAAGTAACCTTAAGGGCTTTGACAATTCATTTGAATATTTTTTGTTTCTAAGACGAACAATTAGAAAATGCTAACTGTAATGGTTTTGTTAATTGGGCCATCAACAAAATTGTTCATTTGCTGGAAGCTAATACAAAATTTTGTTTGTGTTACATGTATATTTACATAATTATGAGAATATATCAGATGTTGCATTTGCTGAAATTCCAAAAAAATTTTAATGGAATTGATTAATGTCAAAGTTTATCATTTAAGAAATAATTTTTGAATAATTTTGCCATTGAAAATTCCTACATAAGAAGAATATATCTATATCTTCACTGGCAAGATGAGTAATGAATTAAAAAGTATTTATATAACACATTATTAGAAGGACCTTATTATTAGTAAGACCTTCGATGTAATCCAGACGATATGTAGTAGTAATTGAAAAGTATGTTGTTAGGGATTGAAAGCCATTACCTAGTTTTTGTTGGGTTTTAAAGAAAATTAAGTAAATTTTAAAGAAAATTAAGTAAAACAAGTAGAAAAGTATAGTCGGGCATGGCGGATCATATAACACCCTAAACGAGTTATAAGCTAATTTAAGAAAGCTTTTATGTTGAATTTTACTTTAAATTTTGAAGGATTAATTTACGCTTATAACAACTTTAGTTAAGCACAATTTCATCGCTATACTAAAGGTTATAATTCAATTATGGAATTTAAGTCATATTGAGAGATTGTATGGCTAATAGCGTCAAATAAGGTCCGATCATTCAATGTCATTTATGCTCATATAAAACTTAGTTAAGCAGATTTTTGAAGACCCACTAGTGTATTTGACGTAGTTTTGAGCAGAAAAGCTCAAATCGGAAGGGTATATGTTTCAATTTCATTGAAAATTGCTGTCTGTACCATGCTCACAAGGTTTACATGGACAGCCGGACGGACGGACTTAATTGGTATACTTTAAGGTGGGTGAAGAACCAATATTTTTGCGGCTTATAAACATCATTACAAATACATGAATATGCATACAAATTTTCCTTAGTAATTCAACTAATTAATTACTTAAACGTATTCCCCTGTCACTAACTGGAAATTGTATTAAAATACTAAAAATAGATAAAATGTTCCCAATTAGTGACAAATATTATATAAAAAGTTATTATTTTTAATTAAATCATTAGTAATTTTTCAATTTATCTACTCAAAGCAATTGCAATACTCGAACATATTGTTAAAAGTTGAAAAAAAGATCAAGAAATCAATATCAAGTAATGACCCAGTTAAAATGGCATTTCTACACATATTCAGGTGAAATATAACAACTCTTTTATAACAAAATTCTTACACACAGAAAAACGTATTAAGGAGACATACCTAGGTATCTACATTTATACATTTGTACAAACAATTCATACATATTTAAATGTTAGGGTGTTTCTTTTTTACTTTTTGTAACCTTCATATATGTAAGACCATATGTAAATTGAAAGCAATTCTATAATTCATTCTATTGCACTAGTTTTTGAGGACTTCATCGTTTAAAATGAACGAAATTTGTCCATAAATATGAAAATAAAGATTCTTAATTATTTTTTTATATATATGAAAGACAACGTGTATTTCAAACGAAATACATCAAACTACCTTTTATTTTAAGATAAGAATAAAATGTTCCAGATATATTCTAAGATATGGATAAAATTAAGGTTTTTCTGAATTTCCCTCAAATTTGAAAGACATCTTAAAAGAAAACACTTTTCTCTCTTAGATTTAAAGTTAAAATTTCCGAACTCTTGACACTTAATAAAATAGAAAAAATCTTATCAAATAGAACGAACACTCTAATGTTCGTATGTGAATATCCATATCAATATAAAATACATACGTACCGACATTCAGTAAAATAAAATACATTTTACAGCAATTTGCGAAATGAATGTGTATGTGAGGAATGAATAAGGAAAAAGTAGAATTTATTTTTCTTTTTCAGTTTTCTTTTTTTTAAATAACAAGGTAAATGAAAAGTATAGAATTTAATACAGCTTTTCAAAATATATACATAGTATATACATATGTGTATGAAATTTCCACAGAAAAACAAAAGGTCATATGTCAAAATAATTTTTTTTTTAACTAAAATGTCAATAACATTTATTGGTAAAAAAATTATTAAATGTATAACGAATAGAACTTTAAACATTTAAAATCATTTAACACGAATTTATGATTATTTTTACTTATGACTTTTTTATTGCAAACGAGTAAAATTTACTTGCAAGAATGAGAAATTTATGTATAACGTACATTTTTCCATTTGAAATTCTTTTTTGCAAGAAAAAATAAATTGTAGATATTTTTTAACAACCATGGAGGCATAAAATCAAATACTTACAAATGTACTTTTGTATCTTTTCCATTTTAAGCAGTGCGTATAAGTAATATCGTATTCAAAAATATGCATAAATACTTCATAGTATTATTTGTTTGTTAACATTTTGTTTTTTAACATAATTTACTTTTACTCTTATCTGCTAGACTGCAAGTTTAATTATTTTATGAAATATAAAATCTTATGCCTAATTGTTGTATTTCTCTTAATCCTTTTGCAGCATTATCGTGGTTCATTAAAATCCTTAAACACTGGCATTGTGACTTTATTAAATTATGGCAAACATGTGCCACCAGCTGTTTCGCATGTAACATTGGCCCATGAAATTGGTCATAATTTTGGATCACCGGTAAGTGGAAAAATAAAAATATTAATTTTTTTATTTTACAGATTATTATTTTATTACTAAATAAGGTTGTTGGTTTATAGAAAAAAAAAAAACAAATATCAAAATATAAAAAAGTTCATTGACTGAAAAAGTTCCAAAAGTCAGGATAAAAGCAGCAGTTCATTTAAACATAAAAAAGTTCATTTAAAGTTCTAGAAATAAAAACAACAAAAAAGGATATGTGTGCAACAAAAATATTAAGATGAAAAAATTCGTAAAAAATCTCATACACATACACACACTAACATACATGTATGCGTTTCTGTATGTGATTGTGTGTGTGAGTAAAGTTTTGTATACGTATTGTAAAATGCACTTAATGCAATTAGTTACAGTTCGTCGCGTGTGCATAAAATCCTTTATGTTGAACTTTTTTAACAACAGGAACTGTAAAACATTGTGATTCACCCAACATACGTTATATCATGTTATGCACAGTGGTTCAAAAAGAGTTAATTATTATGGAATTTATTTTCACTACACACAAACAGGAAACAGAAAATTTTCCGCCCTCTACGACCAAAAATTCGGGTTTTGATCTTTGAAATTTTGGTCCTTTTTAGATTTTAAAACGTTTGTCAGTCCGTCTGTGTGTTGAAAAGAGCTACAAAGCTTCCACAAAATGACACGATTTGTTTGATATTTAAAATGGGCAAAACTAGTTGATGATTTAAAAACAAGCGATTATATGATTGACCCTAAGTCCCCTTTACCAAATGATTTATACTACGTAACTAAAATAATAATTTTAGGAAAATATATAATAAATTTATATTTACAAATAAAAATGCAACGCACAACATTTCCCACTGTGAAGTGAAACTTTTTTTTATGACTGCAATATATAAAAGCAAAAGAGCGAAAGAGAGTGAGAGTAAATAAAAGAAGGAAACAGGAAGTTATATAATACAGTCAAAGACACACTCACATTCACATATTACAGACACTAACGCATACTCTTCATAAACACAAAAGATTTTTTTAATACTCTAACGAACATTTCACTCACACATACATAAGCCTCTGTCTGAATTCACACAAAAGCAACAGTTTCTTGAATTTTGACTCTTTTTCTCGTTTTTTAACTTATTCCTCTACACACACTTACTCTCAGCAATTATTTGTTGAATGATTGTCTGTTATCGTCTATACACACAACACTACTCACGACTCAAACATCTTTAAGCATCGATTTAATTGTAACAAGGACAAATTACTTTCTCTAGTTCAGTTTCAGTGCAGTAATGCCAAAAGCAATCGATGCAAAAAGGATAAGAGAAAGAAAAAAACAACAAAGTAGATTTCATATAGAGATGCAGGCAACTGATGACGTGAAAAGGATTTGAAATCGATTCAGTTTTTACAAGCAATTAAACAAGGAAACATGGGTTTATGAAAAGTGAAAGTTACAAAGGGAACAAAGAAAATAAATGGGTTAGAATACGTACATATATGTTTGTGAACAATCTAAGGTGGTGAGGAATCCTAAACATCCGCATCAAAGCATAAAGCAAACATTTTAATTGACATCATTTCTTTTCTTAAATGTGTTCAATATGAATTTTATATGCAAAGGAACGCTACAAATTTAAGAAAAAAATTCAAATTTACTTCTAAGTTAAAATATAAAATTTTGCAAAGATTTTACTTTATTAATATTTCCCTTAATTCCACTTATTTACAGCACGATCCCGAACAATGTACTCCAGGTGGTGAAGATGGCAATTACATTATGTTTGCGCGAGCTACATCGGGTGACAAGAAGAATAATAATAAATTTTCACCCTGTTCCCTGAAATCCATAGAACCGGTACTCAATGCTAAAGCTCGCAGTACGAAAGGTTGCTTTACCGAACCCCAATCATCCATTTGTGGTAATGGTGTGGTCGAACCAGGAGAGCAGTGTGATTGCGGTTGGGAAGAAGATTGTAAAGATTCTTGTTGTTTCCCTATGTCACGCCACTCACGCATAGATGAAAAACCCTGTACTCTAACACCGAAAGCTATGTGTAGTCCTTCTCAGGGTCCCTGCTGTACCGGAGACTGTAAACTTAAATATGGCGATAAGTGTCGTGATGACAACGGTTGCAGAGATCCTAGTTTCTGTGACGGTCATATGCCTCAATGTCCTCCCTCCATCAACAAGCCTAATAAAACTATTTGTAACAAGGAATTTGTCTGCTACATGGGAGAATGTACTGGCAGTATTTGTCTGGCCTATGGTCTGGAATCGTGTCAATGCATACCTGGTCCTAAAGATGACAAAATCAAGTCGTGTGAATTGTGCTGCAAATTGCCTGGGGAGGATAATCCCTGTCGCAGTTCATTTGAGTGGAATGATGCTCCATTTGATGTACCCGATATGTATGCCAAACCTGGTACTCCTTGCAATGACTATAATGGGTAAATTTTTATTTTCACTTTTACTTTGTCTCTGTCAGCCAACATTTTTTTAAATGAACGTAACATTTTTTTAATAGTTAGTAAGTAACTGTACAGTATTTTATATGTCAAGTGTCAAATCTCTTAAAATGACCGCATCCATTACGAAATTGCTTAACAAACAGGCAGCCAACCAAGAGGTTTTTCATTTGTTCTATAGAAAAAAATGCTCTTGTTATCTATGACAACGAGTTGAAAAAATATTTTTATACGTTTTATCTTGAACAAAAAATATTAAAATCTAAATGTTAAATATTTTTCATCTCAATTTTTATATGTGTTTTTGCTTTACTTTCTTTTCATACCACTATTGTATTATATCCCCTACTCTTCGTGCCCGATTTGTGACATCAGTTACTGTGATGTCTTCCAGAAATGTCGTGAAGTTGATCCCTCTGGCCCTTTGGCAACATTACGAAAACTACTACTGTCCGAAGAGAGTATTGCAACATTCAAAAAGTGGATGCAACAAAACTGGTATACTGTCGCTTTGGCGGGCATTGGCGTTTTTGTATTATTGGTAAGTAAAACTAACAAACAAAAAATACACCATTCGTAGTACGTAAAATTGACAAAAAAGAAAATCTCTGAAAATATTCTGTAATGTTTTTGTGTCCACCACAATTTTCGATTTTTAGTCGCCTGACGATTTTTTTCCACTTTTGTTCTGGATCGTTTCTGCAGGCGCACATATGTATGTATATGTGAATGTGGACTAAAAAGTTCAAGTGGTCATCACTTGATACGCAGCCAACAAATAACCATTTCATACTTTTTTTCCATTCCTCCAACCCCTCAGTCATGTTATATGTCAATAAGGGAAATGTTTTAATTTTTCTTGCCATTCTTGCATTTTTTGTTTTCTCTATTTCACATATGAAATTTGTCACTCGAAGATTATGAAGTTTGTTGCGAATGTTATAAAAGATGAGAAAGAAATGTTAGAAAATGCTCCTCAGAAGAATAGTAAGTTTTTAACGTAAAACTACAAAACGAAAGTATGTATGTGTAGTATTTGAAAATCATCCTTAACAAACTTAATGCTACAAATATTTGAAACATTTTAAAGTCGTGTTATTTCATGCAGAATCATCTCAGGTGGAAATACTGAAAAAAGTTGTTCATATCTTTAAATGTATTTTAAGCTACAATTAAGAAACCTTTCCTAAAAAAAACATGAATCCGTTGTTAGAAACTTGGTAGTAACTATATTTCGCCAATAAGCATTAAATCTAAAAATCATCGTTTAACAGAAAACATCTTTAGTTTGAAACTTTATTATATATTTATATCAAATTTCTAATTATTAATCTATTTATAATTTTTATTCTCTTTAGATATTGAGCACGAAGCTACTGGCGAAACGGTCAAATCTGAAATTGAAATCTGTCACAATAATTCACAGCGCCACCACCGAAACCGTACGTCTACCCGACGACAACAACGGCGTTATCGTGCATACGGCCGTCCGTACAAAAGTACCTTTCAAAAAGAAAGTAAGAGGAGAACGCAGCAGCTCCAACAACCCAGCCAACAATGGTAATAAATCAAAGATCGGCGGTAGTAAAATCAATAAAAACTCAAACAAGTCCTCTCACGCCCATGCCAGGGCCACCAAAGTTAACGCAAAAAATGCAGCCAATTTAACCACCAACCCAAATACAGTTAACGCTCCTAATAATGGCACTGATGTTAAGAAGCCTGTAAGAACTAAGAAGAATAGAGTATCGGGCAGTACGGGTAAATCAGCTCATAATGTCATTAATGCTGTGGTCAATGCAGAAAAAGTCAATCAAGAGAATCTTAAGAAGTCAAAGAAGAAGAAACACAGCAAGGAAATCATAGATTATTCCTCTCGCACTGGCCCCGCTTTAGGCGGTGCCCCCATTAATCATACCAACACCTTTGGTAAGGTACAAAAATGGTTGTTAGAGTCTCCCATAGTAGCACAGCCACTCTCCCATATTGAACATTCCTCCAAGGTTAGAAAAGTTATGAGCAAGTCACAAAGTACTCCAGAGCGACTAGTGCAGAAAACTCCCACCAAAAGCAAAAGCATGGGCAACCTGTCCAATGAGAAGGTCAAACTACAAGTGGTATACAAACCTCCGTTCCGATTTGCCTTGCGCTTATCGAAGAATACCAAGGTGAAGACTCATGTGATGGGCAACATAAGCAATAATAAATTCAAAAGACACTCCAGAACAGACAATAAACGATCCAGTGGTAGTCATCAAATGGATGGTGGTGGTAGTGGGAGTGGTGTGAAGTCTTTAGGTGAGAAGACCAAGAGGGCTGCCTTATTACTCCGTTCCAACAATGACGAGGACAATCAAATTTTAACCTTAAATGAACCCAATTATGAAACCCTGAATCCCAAAACCGCACCATCCAAAATGGAGAATCCCTTCTATGAAAATATAAAATTTATGCAAACAAACGAAAAGCGCCACAGTGATCCAGCTGTTACAACTGGAGACTCGGGTGCAGCATCAGCCAGTGGAGGTTCCATGACTAATAGTGTAAAACGCTCCTCTAGCAAGTCAAATCTAGAAGCTCATCAACAGCCACAACATTTTCAGAGATCTTCTAGTTCTAGCAACCCCTTTGCCATCATGGATGCAGCACGCAATTCACGCAAATTAAGCGAGAGTAATGCTGACAATTTAAGCCGTAATTTTGGCAGCACACAGAATTTAATCAACAGCAGTCAAAGTAATTTAAGTAAATCAAAAAAACGTAGCAGTCTTAATTTAAAGTCAACTATAAATAAAAACGGTAAGGACCCACCTTTGCCCGCTAACATGCCACCCACTAAAAGAAGTAACTCCAACATGAATCTGAGAAGAGATTCCACCACAAATGCTGTAGCAGACAGTATAAAAGCATCCAAGCATTTGCAATCACAGGCAGTGCCCCTGAGACGTAGTATAAGTAGCTCCACGCATACAAATCAAACGGCTGCAAATCCGCTAGCCAAATCATCGTCGTCATCATCAACGCCTGCTGGTGCAGGAGCTTTACCTACACAACTGCCATCTTATAACGCTCAACGTTCTTCGCGAGCTAGTTTTAGCAATATACCCAGAGCTAGTCTTAGTCTGGTCAATTCGTCCTCCTCTAGTACGGGTAGTAATTCGCCAGCCAACTTAAATACAAGTCACACAAGTTTCCCCTTCAACTCTCAAGCCTCATCTGGGCACAACATGCAGGCAGAACAAAGACGCAGTCGATCTAGTTTACCACCGCCACCTGTACAGCCTAACAACGGCCATCAAAGATCAAATTCTGTAAGGCAGCATGCCCACAACTATCATCCGCCACCACTGCCCTCCACCAGTAGCAATGCAGCAGTCAATAAATCTCAATCAAACTCAAATACAAACAATTCGGAACTGCCATCTGATTTAGAGGTCATGGTGTCCGATATCGAAAATTTGGTTAGTTAGTCAAAAGTTTATAAAGTTCGTCAAAGAGTCATTTCCTTTGTAGGTAGAATACCAATGAATTGATTATGAATTCCTTGCGACTGCTGCTTTAAAATCCACAACCAATCACTCACTTTCACAAAAACCTGCCAAAATATTAGAAAATTTGGTGTTAAAGAATAGCTGAAATACAAACAAAAAAAAACTACCGCCGCCTCACTGCCCTATTTTGGACTCTACATACTAAATAATTTTAAAAATTCAAAACGAAAGTTACTTTAACTTTTGCAAGACGATGGATGGATGGATGAATGAACGAACGGATGGTATTATTTTGATATTAAAGAAACAAGAACAAAAACTACAAACATTTTACGTGTAACAAAAGTTTCTTAGAATTATTTTTGTAAGCGGAAAAAATATAGAAAAAAAAACAACAAAACCTAGAAGACTTATCCATGTCTCCATTTCTCCTCCCTCCCTCGTTCCCTTACTCATCACTGCTATAACAAATTGAAATAAATTTGTTTAATAAAATACTTGATGTTGTAGACAAAGTTTTCCTTATTGAATGGATTTTAAGATTTTCCACAAAAGAGCCAATTGAAGCAGCACATACTTGTGCAGAAAAGGATTTTAAAATTGTTGAAATTAAATTTTTAAAAACAATGACTTTTTAACGATTCAACAACAATGATTGATTTCCCAAATTTCAATTGATGATTTAGAAACAATAAAACAAAACTTTAACAAAAGAAACGCTTCATTAAAGTCACAGGCAGGCGAAATAAATGTGTAAACGAAAGCGAAAGCAATAGCAGGAGGGGACAGATCAAGTTGTCATTTGTACTTAGTTGTAAAATATACTTATTTAGTTCCATCATCCATCATGAATACAATAATACTTCATTAATATGCCTTTTATTAAGGAGAGATTTTGGAGAAGATTATAAAATGTCTGTTTAAAATTGAAAAAAAAAAACTTTAAAATTATTTGGAAATTTTTGAGATATTTTACAAAACATTGTATACTTTACATGCTGGGAATAATAAACTTTTATTGGCGAATGTTTTTACAAATTTCAATATTTTATTAAACAAATTCTACTGAAGAAAGATCAATGTCAAAATATCAACTCTTGCCTTAACAACTCTAATTGTATTTTTAATAAAGTCCACTCATTATTTAAATTTATTTAAATTAAAAAAACAGTAAAATAAATTTATAAATTAAAAACAAAAAAACTCAATGTAAATCCCTTAAAACTGATTTTGAAATCCAAAAGCAAAAACAAAAAAAGAAACTATAACAAGTCTTCAAAACTATTTTGTGATCGTAGTTTATTTATTAATAAATTATTTAAAAATAAAAAAAATTAAAATAAATTTTAAGTCTAAAATTAAAGAAAACTGTATAAATGTGTAAATTTTATGTTTTAAACAAAAAAAGTCTCGTTTTATTTTTAATTTAATTTTTTTTAAATTTTCATTTATTTTAAACTGTATGTATGATATTAAACCAATAAAACAAATTGCAAAAACAAATTAACTATTTAATATAGCATAATAAAATAATAATAATAATAACAAATAAGTTATAAAAAAAAGAAATCTGTATTGTCAACATAGTAACTGAACTGTGTGTAAAATAAATCAATGGAAAATAAAAAAAACTGAAACATAAATATTTAAATATTTTATTATTAATAATTCCGTATGAATTGTAGGCTTAAAAAAATAACATACATTTTTAAACATGTCTTATGTGTCAATTAATGTATAAATTGTAAAAATAACTATTAAAAAAATTAACAAAAAGTAAATAAATAAAATAAAATAGAATAATGAAAAAATTAAATCACAAAAATCTGAAATTAATTTATAGCGGTTTACGTCGTTACATATTTTTCACTTTTAATTTCCTATATATAAATGCATGAGTTGTAATAAGCGTAGTAGAGGTGTCCAAAATATAAGGATTTTCCTTGGATGGGTCTTATTTTGTTTATAAGTATCTTAAATTAACTTCTTTAAATTTTTAGTCCAATCGTATTCGTGCCAGAAATAGACTAAAAAGTGTAATATTGGGTAAATAAAAGGACTTTAAGATTTTCAAAAGATTTTCAAAAATAATGCAATCAAAATTATATATTTTTATAATTTTAAATAAATTTTATCTTCTAGAGAAAGTTATATTGCCATTAATTGGTCTTTTGAACACTAATGGCCAGAAAAGATCCATCCAAAGAAAATCGTATTTTTTTGGGCACCTACAGGGAGCAACAAAATCCTTACATTTCCATTAAATTTATTTATCCTGACATTTACACAACTACATTTATACGTTTGTGTTGTTATGTGTAATTTATAGAATTTTTTGTTTAATTTTGGATTGTATGAATTGTATTGTAAAATACAAGTTTTAAAAAAAAAAAACAAATAGGCTAATATGTCCCAGCAAACAAATGGTGGTTCTGTCTTCAATTAATTAGCTTTAAAAAGTTTTGTACATTTTCATATTTTTTGGGAAAATTATGAATTATTAAATGTATATATTTAAACAAAATTGATATAAGATTATCCGTTCATTGCCGAGGAAAAGCTTTTTTGGAAATTTGGTGTATCCATAAGTCTCAAATTATAGTTAAAAAAAAATAAATTTTTCGAAAGTATTCTCAGTTATCTACCAATATTGATTAAGCTTTCGTCTGACAAATTGTACTAAGATCAATATTGTCAATCGCTGTTGGAGAACTAAGATTCTTTCAAAGAAAATAGTTGTCCACGAGCACTCTACTGAACATTTTAAAAGTTTAGTTTAGTTCATAATTGCCCAAACTGATAATGATTTGTATTCTACTTTTTGCCAAAACCATTGAAAATATTATGATTTTAACAGTTAAAATTATGGACTGATTTTCCTTAATAGATCTTAAAAAGAGTATTGGAGATATTTGGTTTCAGTTAATGTTTAATGCTGACATTTTAAAAAGACTCATACGCAACAGTTTCATACTTAAGCATATCCTTGTGTTAAATTTTACCATTGTTCCGATATCTTTAAGCCATTTATCGCTGAAAACATATAGATCGATCCTCATAAGGAAGGATTGATGGAAGGATTTATGTTTAACTGAATTATGGACTTTTTGTGAATGCTTCTTTGTATGGGATATTAGATATTAGAAAATACTTACATATATCATAAATATGAGCTCAAAAGCCCTATTCATGAGGTTTGGTTGTATGGGCTTGATTAAAAGGTTTGTATGGACATGTCGAAGTGCTTTACGTGAGTAGCTGCCGTGTAGTAGTAGCTTTGTGACACACTATGGACGCACAAAAAACTTTTCTAAAAACTTATTTACATTTATCTTTCAAAAAATATTCAATTAATATGTATTTGGGTATGCAAAATTACTTGAGCCGGTTGTATCGGAGAAGAATAATAAACCTATTTTTTTAAGAGTGATTAAAATGTCTTAATCTTCATTATTCTAGTCTATGTATTGAAAATTTACTACATTATGTCCATTGAGTTCTAAGAAAAAAAAATTACTGGGTTATACATAGTTTCCGTGCTATTTTTTGGATATTTAATTTTTTTAATTTATTTTCATTATTTCCTCATTGTTGGGAAAGACGAAAAGTGATTTGTTAACCCTCTCTTGGTTTTATTATAATTTCCAAAATATTTCGGATTAAATGATAACTGATTGAAGCCGATTCTAACGTATATTGTATCATGCAGTAATCTTTTGGGATAATTTGATGAAATTTTGAATATGTATATTGTTTTGGGGAACTTTTTTGAAATGCTATATACGATTTTTAATTATTAAATATTAAATATATAAAATCGTGCTTTCTTTACACAGTCCACCTCACGAAAAGTTATCTACAGTTCCATATTTTTAGTGGGTACACAGGAATACGAATAGAATAAGCGAGCACTTTTTTAAGAGTCGGTCTAATATATAATTATCGAATGAATGAAATAAATGTATGTATGATTATTGTTTAAAATGTAATTCATATTAAATAAATTTACATATAAATTTATTAAATCAAATAGAATCTATAATTATCAAAATACATATGTATTAGTCAAATACAAATCCCAATAATGCAGATAGACAGACAGCCATGCATACATATGTACATACATGCCTTATTGCATATTTGTATTCAACCATCCTTCCGTCTTCCATTCTATCAAGTGTATATTAGATAATTTCTATATCTGAGAGTGTTTGTATTGATAGTTATCTGTGTATTAGTAATGATAAAAATAAATACATATCTACAAATATGTAGTCATAAATAAACATACAATTTAAAATTCACATATTTGAATCGAAATACGCTTTTGAAAGTATAAATAGGCATATAAAAACATATTAACAAAAATATTTGTTTCATATGTAAGTTTGTATGTATGTATGTATTAATGTCTGTAGAAGTTTATCTGTTGTAGATAAACAAATTATAATGTAATTTTATAATGATTCGTTACTTAGTTTTGTTTTATTTTTACATTTTTTGATATAATACACAGATGTCAATTAGATTTAATTTGAAAATTTGCTTTTTGTAAGTTCGATATAAAATGAAAGCTGATATATGTATATAGACAATGCACCATACATATGTATATGGTTACGAACAATTGGTGTTTTCTAAGCTTGAAGTTCTAAATTTGAAATAAATTCCGAAGGTTCCATTTAGTAATTAATTTGGTATAACCAATTATTTATGTACAATATTATCCGAGTATGTATAAGTTTAAAATTTATTGTCAAATTGCAAGAATATCCTAATATTTTTAAGCCAACCTAGGATCCGCTTAAAATATGGGCCGATGTTCATCATACTTAACATTCACGATTATAGCATAATTAACATATTTAACAGTATTTAGCAGCATTCCGAGTTTCACTTGTAAGAGGATATTTCCCAATTTCAATTCACCACACAAGCTCTTTCTGTTCCGACCCTTTCGCGCTTTTAACATAGCTAGATGATCCTATAATCTTATAGAGTCCAGAATATATATACATACATTTTTGATCTACGATTAATATTTCGATGTGGTACAAACGTAATGACAAAATCAATATACTCTCCACCTTTTTTGATGGTGAGTATGAAAACCCAGCAAAAAATTTACTTCCAAAGAAGCCAAAAGCAAAGAGAATTTACTCCATGGGAATACTGAAAAAGACCTGAAGAAGTGATGATTTTAACACAGGCCTTTTTTATTTGGTTCCAAATGCACTACATCTGAAGTCATTCTCAAAAAGTAATTTTTATGTTATTTTTTTAAAGTTAGAAAGAAGTTAAACAAAGGAGTTACACAGATTGAACTTAAAACCCCAAAAAATAAAATGTCTTCAGTTTTGAAAAAATAGAATTTTGTTTGCTTCTTTGAAAGTCATTAAACATCACATCTACATCACATCTAAATAAAATCATGCTATGCTAATTTTAGCTGGGAATAGTCTCCAATTATCGCATAAAATTTGAATTTTAGTTGAAAATACTGTAATAATTCATAAAAATTATTTATTGTTATTTTTCATTTCACTATTTTAATGTAATTAAAACTTATAATTTCAGTAATTAAAAGCTTAATAATTTTCTAACCATAACAATACAACATAGCCCTAGTACTCCCACTAAATTTTAATATTTTTCATAAAACGATTCAACAAATATTTTCTAGAGTTAAAAAAATCTAAGTGCAAATTAAAAAAGGTAAATGCTACATTCACACTATCATTACCAGCTGCAATAATAATAACAACAACTATAATAATACATTTTTAAAGACCCCATAAAAATATGTTTTGTTTTGACTACCTGTACAGTTCTGATAGTGGCATAGTATAGTATTTGGCTGATTTTTTATTCTTGAACATTTAAAGTATTGTTGATCTCCAATATTAAAACATTTATATGTTTTATTGATTAGTGTTATCATCGCTAGGCTCAAATAATTTTACCACTTCAAAATTCGAGTTTTTTGACCTGAGTAGAGTTATTGTTAAAAGAGGGATTTTTTGCATTTTTTGCAACAATGCATTAAACTGAATAGGCATTTGAGTTTTAATGTTGCAATTAAAATTTTCCCTATACAAAAAATGAGTTTGAAAACTACAAATAAATAGACAATTTCCCGAATCATAAGTTAAGTTTTTCATCAATATTTTTTTGTTTTCCGTTCAGTTGAATTGTACCTTGCCTCAGATATACTTAAGCCATTTATTGTTGAATAAAATTGTGGACATTATAGTCAAATTTTGAAGAGGTCTTTGTATAGGGGCTATGGTCAAATAAGACCCCATAATTATAAAATTCATGAGAGTCATCAAGGCTAGTAAAGAACTTGGTTTTGCAGCCTTTTGTTGAGATACGAGTATATTAAACATAATTATCAACTTAAAAGCCCTATTCGTCGGGTTCAGTTGTATGGGGGCTAGGTGAAATAAAGGACCGATGTTAACCATTTTCAATAAGCTTCGTCTCCGGTACCATAGAAGATAATGTGCCAAATTTCATTGAATTATCTTCAAAACTGCGACCTGTAGTTTGATTACAAGCCCTATTCAGGGTTTCAGTTGTATGGGGGCTAGGTGAAATAATGGACCGATCTTAACGATTTTCAATAGGCTTCGTCCCTGGG